AAAAAAAAACACTAGAGCACATCTTTAGCAACAAGCTAAATGCGTTACATACCAGCTTGCACTTTCTCTGGATCTGGAGTGCCCACTAAGTTTCTATCAGCTGCCTCAGATCGCATTCCCATAGCATTGGTGTCCTGGAAATTAACGTTACAAGATATATCCAGCAAGGTACAGAGCTGCGAACCTGGATGAGGGATGAAAACATTGCGAGCACGAATTCCTCTGAATGGGCTATAGAAAAGAAATTCGGCGAGTTCTGGTACAAAAAGGTGATCATCTGTATGACTGCAGAGGGATAATCAACATGCCATCCTTGTAGCGCCTGAACAACACTTTGGAGACTATAAAGAAAAAAGTGTACATCAAAGCATGACCATATAAGATTTACGACATCTTGAGAAATTCAAATGGGAAAACTTGAAAAATCATAGAACGAGAAAAAGAATCGGAAAACAAAACCAGCACGAAAAACTCACATCATTTCCAGAAAAAATGCAGGCCCTAACCATAGCTAGAAGAGGGATTAGTGCATCGTAGCAGAATTCGGATGATCTTATGGCCTCATAAACAGAGCTGCAAATACACTAATAAGATGCTATAGCTGAATAGCTATTGCACATACCTGTTCAGAGACAATCCAAAAACATGCGTCCAAATCTGATCCACATTGAAGCTTTCACAAAATCGAAGATCTTTTACCGGCTGAAGAAATCAAAATGAAATTAGTCATTACATTGAATGACCTCAAGACGATTTACCTGTCCGACTAGCAAAGCAAGCATAGCTAGGTAAGCATGAGGCTTATCCGCATGAGCAGCCATCAGGTGCTCCAAGGCGGCGAATCCTGCGCAGTTTTGTAGCTCCGGGTTGATATCAATCTTGCTTCCTACCGAGCCGCCATGGGCAGAGACAGAGAAACCGAGGACAACCTAAACAGAAAATGGAAATGGACAACACGCTGGATAGCAGTGGTCTTCGTGAGTTACTTACATGGAGTATAAAATGTGCAAATGACTTCTTTGAACTTGTAAATAATTAA